ATATATATATATATATATATATATATATATATATATACACACACACACACATACATATATATACAAGGACTATACATAACACATTATTTGTGTTTATCCAAGCTGATGAGCCATAATTCTCTGAAATTTTGGCTTATTAGTTACAAAAAAGCATTCTTTGCATGCTGCCCTACCAGTCTTGCTTGGCCCCTCCTCCTGCTACAGGTGACCAAGAACTCCATATCCAAGCTTCAGCTTATAAGGGAATCTGATTCTTGGTTTGGCTTATCTTTAATAAAGCAGGAATCCAAAAGACAATTTGGCTTCAGACTTTGACTTGTTAGAAGAAACACAAGCTGGGAATCCAAAAGTCACTGATTTTGATTGGATTTCCTTTTTTTTTTTAATGCTTTTTATTAAAGAGTGTTACAATACCAAAAGATAATACAGACTGAAATCAGAAAAAGAGAAGAGTAGAATTTTCGTTGGGTTTCCTAAGCATATTTTGATATTCCTGCTCTTTCTTTTAATGCTGCCACTTGCATTGCTGTTAATTATTGCATTCAGAACTATGGACAGGAGCAGAGGGTAGGAGTATGACAGTAGAAGAGAAGAATGGTTCGCATTTCTCTGATCCCAGAGCGTTCAAATGTTAGGGAACCAAAGTCTGTCTGTTTTGATGATAGTTTCAAGGATCACCTCAAACTCTAGGCAACAAAAGCTGGCTGTAATTTTCCAGTTACATCGTTGTGTTTCTTGTTGGAAGGTTTTCTTATTCTTGTTGTAGCTGAGGAAGTCATAAAGTTGGGAATTAAGAGCTGATTATCATTCTTCTCAATTTCTTCCCAGGAAATGACCCATTCATGGCCACCTCCTTTGACAGCCATCCATACTCCTAGCACATCTGAGCCTTCAAAGTTTCCATTCCCTGTAAAGGTTAAGAAATAAATCTTTCATTCCATATATATCAGTTTTTGAATGAAAATGCATGTCATTCATCTCCTTTTGGCATTTGTTATTTCTAGGGCAGGGGAAAAGTTTGCAGGACAAAGCAAAAAATAACTGTGAAAGGGTAGTTTTTTCATGCGACTATTGCTTTAAACTGATCTCTGTGGGTATGTAAACATTATGTTCTTGGCATCTCTGTTTTGTTTAAAATGTAGTTTAAAAGGTGAATCTTTTATTTTTCAGACAGGTAGCAGTCTTCCTAGAAATCATGACATGTAATTGCTCCATAGGAGAAAGTCAAAATTCAGAATTCCTCTTCCCTTCAGCCCCAGATCCCCTAAGCCTTCTACAACCTGGGTACACTCTACATGGGTGGATGCAATTCCTAGATTTCTCAGTGATGGCCATGCTTGCCTGATTCTTTTAGGAGTTGTGTAGGGCACCCAGAACACATTAGCTACACTAGATTTATTTGTTGTATCCAAAGACATCTTATACAGTTCCTGAGTTACTTCACCTGAAGTTAATAATCTCACAACTACTGCTCTTATTCTGCCTGTTCTCTTTTGCTACCGATAACACCCTGGAATTGCTTACCAGAAGTCTGATTTTGCCCATTTCTTTTACATTTGAAAGAAAAAAAAATTGCACTAGAAACTCTTGTCTCTACCCTGCTAGTTTTGTAAGCCAGCATGAAAGGTGGTGTGTATGTCTAACAAAATAGAATACACATAAATGAAATAAATGCATATTTTCCCTGTTTACTCCTACCTCAATGTCTATTCTTTTCTGTTCTTTTCCATGTAGAATGTTAACTTTAGTACTATGGAAAGTACCATGCAGTGTGATAGTACTGTAATAATAATATTTACTGTTACTGTCAATTTTAACATCTATCCTTGGATTATATTTATTTTCT